AGAATAAAATTTAGTGAAATCTGGAAAAACTCAACTTTATATTGTTTGTATATGTATGTATGTATATGTATGTATGTATATTTCCTTACTCGTAATTAAAATTGAAATAGATTTTAATTTTAATTTAAAGTTGATTACGAAATTTATTTCAACTGTAGACAAAAATTAAAATGAATCACTCGTTATCAAAATTTCTCGCTTCCTTGTGTATTGTATTTTTTGGCTTAGCAACTTAAAAATTTTTTGACATCGAAATTATGATTATTTTTTTAATTTAGGAAAACTTGTTACTGTATTCTTTTTATTGTATTTGTTATGTTTTCCAAAAAATTTACATATTCGGTAAATCTTAATAAAAACAATTATTATGTAGATTAAAAAAAAAATAATTTATGGGGGTTGTGTTAGTTTAAAGACCTAATGACATTTAAAATGTTATTGTCATTCTTATTTCATAATATTGTAATGTATATGTATGAGTTTTCAAAAAATTTTCAAAAAAAACGAGAAAAAAAGTAGAGTTGACTTTGTCAACTCTGTGATACCCGTACGAATTTGTTATCCTATGTGCGAATAACTAATGTGCCATAACTAACTCTGGGGCAGACTATGACTTTAAGTTGCCGTATTACTATATTAATTTATGCAAAATTTCAGTATTATGTGTTTTTCAAAATACTGGTTGTGCCAAACTACTATTGAAGTTGTATGGCAGCTACCAGAAAGAGCCAAGGAATTTTAGCGAATTTTATCAAGCACATCGGCCCTACTAATATATTCACTTGTGTGAAATCTCAATATCACAGCTTTTATAGTTTCTGAGATATAGCCAAATAACTTTTGAAGTTGTATGGGAGGTACCAGAAGGAGCCAAGTAATTTCAACGACTTTTATGAGACACATTGGCCCTACTAATATATTCGTTCGTGTGAAATTTCGATACCATAGCTTTAATAGTTTCTGAAATATAGTCAAATAACTTTTGAAGTTGTATGGCAGGTACCAGAAGGAGCCAAGTAATTTCAACGACTTTTATGAGACACATTGGCCCTATTAATATATTCGTTTATGTGAAATTTCAATACCATAGCTTTAATAGTTTCTGAAATATAGTCAAATAACTTTTGAAGTTGTATGGCAGGTACCAGAAGGAGCCAAGTAATTTCAACGACTTTTATGAGACACATTAGCCCTACTAATATATTCGTTTGTGTGAAATTTCAATACCACAACTTTTATAGTTTCTGAGATATAGCCAAATAAATTTTGAAGTTGTATGGCAGCTACCCGAACCGGTACCCCGATCACGTCCAATTTAAATAGGGTTCTGGCACTTACTACAATAAATCATTTGTGAAAATTTGGTGAACTTAGCTCAATTAGTTTTTGAGTTATCGTTCGGACGGAGGGACGGACGGACAGACAAAGCTAAATCAACTCAGAATTTGACGCTGATCAAAAACATACACTTGAGTCTATATCTAACACCGTTATTTCTTAGCGTTACAAACGGTAAGGCAAATTTTGTATACCCTTCGAACATACGTTCGTACGGGTATAAAAATGACTTTTTAAACTATGACAATTCAACTGCGCGTTCGTGTACAAAACTTCTCAATGCTATGGTTCAAAAATGTGAAACTAATATTTTGAATGGCTCAATTCTATGTATTCAACAAAATACAGAAAGATGACGATCTACTTTTTTCTTAAAAAAATTATTAGCAAATGAAATGCAAAAATATTAAATTAAACTTCTAAATAAACCATTATTTCGAACTGGTATTTCCTTAATTTTTCGAACTATTTTCGAGGTTAATTTTAACTGTTTCAAGGTGCCGACAAATATTTTACATTATTAGAATTAAATTTCTTTATATAATTCCATCTCTTTTTTGGCTCATATCCCTTTATTTTAGAATAATATCAATTTCCGATCACATATTTTTTCGACACGACGTTAAACTTTATAAAAGTGAAAATATAACGGTAATCATCTTGAGATCCAAAAAATTTTGCATCTTAATAGCCACATTAATTTGCAATTTTTTTTTCAATTTTTACGCTAATTCAACTTCTCTTTTTGAATTATTTTCTGATACCTCCTAAATGTATGCAACACATAAAAGCAATGCATATATTATCCCAACGTAGAATTCAATTCATTATAAAAGTTAGGAAGAGGCTTACTTTTGTAAATCTTTCCAGTTTTTATATTTCAAAGGGTTTCAATGACATTGAGATTCAAAGAGTTTTCAATGGCATTGCCAGATATACTTTCCAATTCTCAATTTTGTATTTTTATGTTTATTTTTTCATGTTTATGCCATTAAACACCACATTTGATTGATTTGATTTACTTTACAGAACTCACAATTAATGTTGCCTATGTGTTGCTAAAATGTTTTTAATAAATTTTATTAATTCTTCTAATTTCGCATACGAAATATTAAACTATTCTTATAATGAAGTGAAGTCATGGACATTGTATTTTTTTTTCATTTTACATTTTATAATTTCTTATTAATTTTATACCGCTCTCATCAACATTATTAAAAGCGTCTATTTGATATGTTCATTTTGCATAATATTTAAATAAATATGAATGTACGTATGGATGTACATATTACATAAAGTATATTAAATATCAAAATCTTCTTTGTTTACAATAAAATTTTAAATATTGGATTAAATAAAACCGAGTATAATCCAAAACTAAAAAATAAAATATAATTCTAAAATATTTATGAACTCTTACACATATACATATTTACATAAATACTCGTAAGTCAGTATATAAAAAAAAATTGCGAATTTGTACCTTTTAAATCTGCATAATTTTGAGCTCAGGTTTTGTTTCTATATCTTATTGGTTTCAATATGGCTTGCTACATGACTGAAGTCACGTAGCACTTTACCAATACCAATTTATTTCAATTTGCGGTTTTATAATAAGAATTGTTATTGTAAATAATATTTTGGTAAATGAAATAATAAAAATTGTACGACCGTATTTGTTTGAGTATGTATTAGGAACGCACGTTTGCAAAAATGAAAATAACAACAAAAAAATTCATATTAACAAGTAGGCGACCATACATAAATCATATTTTTGAATTAGACTTTTAAAAGTATCCAAATGCAGCTATAGGATACTACAGAATTTTCGATTTTCACAACGCTTTATTGACGATTTTAAAAATTAAAAATTAGTATTGATGTTTATTAAAATTTAAATTATTTTTTCCGAATTAAATGTATTATACAATTTAAATAGTTTGAAGTTATACGAAGTTATGCGAATTCATACGAAGTTTCGCGAAGTCAACAATTTTAAATTACGTAATAAATTATGAGATTCTCAATTAAAAGACGAATCTAACAGGAGTAAATAACTGATTTTACAAAACATTATTGTATAAAATCTGTTAAAAAACTTACACAAAAATATTTATAATGTAGCAATGTTATAGTGTAATTGTCATTAAGTATTAGATTAAGTAATCTTTGAATTTACTAGAGAAATTGAAGCGTGATTGGTTTTTGATTTTTCTTATAAAGTGGTTTACTGAATATATTGACACAGATTCGAAAAGATTGCCGTTATCTGTACGAGTGAAAAACGATTGTATAATAACTTCTTAACTGAAACAAACTGAAATAAATATGAAATTTAGGAAGTTTAATTAAAAACACTATTTTTGAACTATTCGAACTCTATTCTGACCTATCAGGTTTTCGATTGAAAACAAATCTAAGAAAAGATTTAAATATTGTATTAAGCTACATATTATGTAACGATGTCAACTGAACCTCTATTATAATCGGAAACAAATTATTGGACTGCCGTTTGCTAATATATTTGTTAGCATATTCTGTACTGTATACCCTCTTTTATAACAAGTTCATAAAAACTAGATAAAATAAATTTAAATTTTTGCAATGAAAATTTGCTTTTTGTTTTATTGCTGTTTTGATTTCATTTGCGTTTTTTTAAGATCATGAAGAACGAGAAATAATAATAAAAAAAATAATGTCACAGTCAAAAAATATTGTTGCTATGCAGAATTTGGCAACATAATTATATTTACTAGAATGCCAAAATGTTTTTTTTTCTACATTTTGATGCGAGTTGTGTTAGAGTTTGTGATGAAGAGACGGCTGTACAAGAATATTTTTCCATAACAAATATAATGATAATTCTGAATTTGACTAGCAAATTAGAAGAGCAATAAAAGTGCATAAATATTTATGTAAGTATGTATACAAGTTAAATGATATTTAAATTGTTCCATCTCCTTTAAAAAGACTTCAATAAAATAAATTACTCGGAAAACTTACAATAGTTCTTACAAATAGATATTGTGTCTGTAAATACGGAAGTGGTTCCAATATCAACGTAACGGAACGGAACACAACGGTAACGGAAGTGGTCCGTTATTTGTTTTACGTTTTTCGTTTGGCCTACGCTATTTACCTATGCTAATATACCTATGCTAATTCTTTGATTTGGGTCAATAATTTGTGTTAGGCAGGATTTAGCCATCAATTTTTTTTGAGAAACAGATGGCGTTTTTTTTCGGCAAACCAGAATACACGGCCGTTATATATCAAATTTTCGTCTAATTTGAATCAAATCAAACAAAATCCTTAGATCTTATAAAGATATAAAACTGTCAAGTGCTTATAATGTTCGGAGATCGCTCCAAAATAATTATCTTAAATCATTATTTTTTCTGTAGACAAAATTCTGTGACGGCAAGTAGCCATCCTCCAATATTTATCAAAATAATTTTCTGTACAAAATTTATACACTTTAAAGCTGTGTGGAGAAAAACGAAACTCAATTTCTTACATATAAATCATAAAATCTTAAAATTTTGTTACAAAAACTTCGATGTACTTTTCCATGCTAGTTCATTATCATGTAAAAACCATAAATTCAAAAAATAACACAGTGCAAAAAATTAGAAAAGTTGAAAAAAAAAATCATTACTCACCTGTGTAACTTGCATTAATTTCTTTACAACATCTCTACCCAATATATGATCGAATACAGCTTGTAAAAATGGTTCAGTCATTATTGATAATTTTAGTTTATCTCGATGCCAAATTAAAACACGAGATTCTTCCATTGCCATAATTGACACCTACATAAATACAAAGAAATATAAGATTTACAACATAGTTTTTATCTTTAAAAGAATATTAAATATGTTGTTGAAAAAAAATACAGGTTAATTGTACAGAGATCTCAGCATGAATTTTGGAAAAAGAACAAAATGCAGAAAATATTTTTTGTCTTATAGTTCTGAGAAGAATTTAATTCATTTGTGAGTATTATTTCAAACCGGGAAATCATAATGAACAAAGAAGGTAGCATAGAAAAAAATTAATTCTTAAAAATGAATTTGAATAAAATATTCTTTTAACAAAACTAGGGAAAGTAAAAGAGTCAAAAGTGGTTAAGTTATTTTGATAGGAATCATAATAGGAGCGGAGCGGGTTGTTTGATTTTCAGTAGCGTTTTATTCAGTTAAAAACTCCTTTTTGTAGAAAAACGGAAATGGCAACTATTTAACTAAAATAAATAATTAATTTTTATGTGAAAACAGCTTTGTAATATTGTATATTGGCTAATACGCATTATTATGGCAATAATTATTACGTTTCAGAATTTTAAACGTTTTAGAATCATTCTACACTAAATTACGATAACGCAGGCTTGTTTGGCATATAAAGGCTTCTATTTTTCTGAAATCGGAAGAAATATCAATGAAAATCTAAATCTCAAACAAATTTTAGTTCTTTTCTCCAAAAAGGAATCCCACAATGCGCTCACTTTATATTGCAAAATTTTTGGCAGTCATACAAACATTTCAATGGAATCGAAACACTTGGTATACGTACTCCTTAAATTTCAATTAAATTAAACTTGTAATTAGGTGATAATTAAATATTAAATTACTGGTTTATGTTTTTTTTTTAAATCTATATTGCTGCAAGTAGACTTTAGTTCAAACCATTCGATCAGTATTTAAATGTCATTTTTTAAAAAACTCTGTTCAAAAAAATTAATAGGATGAGATAATTATGAGGAAATTAATCCAAGATTTTGAATTTTTTAATTTTGAAACCATTGAACCGCAATAAAACTTCGGCACCGTATAAAAGCAACAAAATTCCGTGAATAACACTTTGATTTTTTGTATACATGGCTAGTTTTTGAATATAAAAATTTTTCAAAGGATATAAGGCAACCTAAAAGTATGCAATATATAAAGGAAATCAAAATGATTTAAAAACAAAAATATTACCTGAAAATAAACAAAAATATTACCTGAAAATAATCATCTGTAGAGACACCAAACCATTCGGGTGAATCTAGGAACTGATGAGGAAAAACTATATGCAGCGCTCTTTGATTTTGTGATACAACTAATCTGTAAAGAAAATAAGAAAATTAAATAAAATCAATATTTTTTTTTCTTTATTAAATTCAGAGGGTTAAAAAAAAGTATTTCTTTTTTTTTAGCTTATGTACCCCATAAAAGAATTATTAGAAATATTCATGTATGTATAATATATGTATAATATGTGCTATATGTATATGAAAGCATGATTGAAGGAAGTGCATAATGTAAAGGATATTTTTTTTAACGGAAAGGACAAAATTGAATTGAAATGAAGAAGCATTGATGTATAAAAAAAAATCACTTTCAGACATACATACGTGTAATATGAAAAAAAATTACATATGCGGTGATTTCCAATAAGTCCTAACATAGTTCAATTCAAAAGTACCCAAATTAGGCATTACGTGTGCGAAAACAAATTAGAATCTGGTTTACATTAAGCATTAATTTGAATTGCACTAAAATGGCACAAATGTTGTCAATCGTTGGTATTAAGGAGATGAAAGGGAGTATGAAGAATATTTGTACGAACAAATGTTGTACTTAACCATTCATTTATGCGAGCAAATTGTAATTCATGAATTTAATGCTAAGAATGCGGAGTACGAAATTTTTCTTAAATTTATGATGGAGAAAAGAAGTTTTCTATAACAGAAACCTCAGAAGTAAAATTTAATTAGAAAAAAGTAAAATGTAATAAGTGAAATACGACCCAGATGTTCTGTAGCGGAAAATAAAACTTACAATTTCTAATAAATGAAAAGCTCCCAATACTTAAAGTCGCTAAAATACAAAACGCTTTTTCAAATATTGTGTTATTTCTTTAGGACTTTTTAACTGACATTTAATTTTCTCATCATTTTTATAGAAACTTAATTATTATGATTCTTTTAATTTCCGTTGAAAATAGAAATTGTTATTTCTATATTCTTGTACATACATCTATAGTTGGGTCCTTTGAATTCAGGTCATATATTAGATGTTTCCTGTTTGTTAAGGTTGCAATATAGTAATGCTAAAGGATGTTTCTCTTTCATTATACCTTAAAGCTACATAAAACAGGACTCCATTTATTATTTCGTTATTATTGAAAGAAGTGATTTAATGATATTTTCTTTAATATTTTGTACTTAGTACTCAAAATTGCAATTAGATTTACAAAATATTTTTATGTTTCGCCTGAGTTAGTATTACTTGATTTTCAAAATTGTAACGTAAAATATAGCAAACCTAATTTATTGTGATTATGTGGTCGACCAAGAAGTCATGAAATAAATGCAATATGTTAAAGTAGTTGCTTTAATGATCTAAATATTTCTTGTTACTTTGATTTAAATAAAATTTTTGAAATAATGTGGAATTTTCTGGACTTTGTGTTGTCTTGAAATCCAAAACTAAAGAAAATGACACAAGACACGGCATTGACAAGAAAAAACAAAGTGTTTTTCTTGTATTTCGGGTTAATAAAAATTAATTTTTGATATAAGTACCACCGTCCTTGAAATTTGTAGCCAAAATTAAAGTAGAAAGTCAAAAAATAGCATTATGTTAATTTAAAATATAAAAGACATTCGCAATTTTTTGAATGCGTGATTTGCTGTTCTTTGCGTTTCGAAAATCCATTTTTTAGAATTCGGACTGCGTAATATTGTAAATTTTCTTTTAAGGTGCAATAATGAACGTGATAAATCGAATTTTTAGTGATTAAATTTTTTATTAAATACGAAATACTTTCTTTTGCAAATATATAGAGTTTTTTCAAGATTCGTCCCCGGCGTCTAGTTTATTGTTCATATAGATCTTTAGTTAATTAAATTTATGTTTCATATTAAACAATAATTTTTATACTATATTATGTAATGATACTTACTTTCCAGATAATACTAATGACAAACTATCAACTTTGGTAACCTTCTCTTGGGCGTATACCTCTTGATATTTAAGTGATCGTATTAATTTCATACAATTTAGCACTTTTTTAAATTGATGCCTTGATACTCTAAGTGGTTTGAAAAGTGACTCATAAACCTGAAAGAAAAATAATTAAATATTATTAGTAAAATTAAATTTGCATTTCAAAAAATTAAAACTATACAAGAAAATTTTTGATCCTATTCAAAATTTCGTAAAACTGATTAAATATGATATACATATGTATGTACGTACATACATATGAATTTTTAAAATTCCGTGTAGATAATTTGTTGTTTGTTTTGGCAACTGGAAACAGAGAACAACTACTGAATTTATTTGTTAAAATTATGACCAAATATTCGTGATTTTAAACTCTACTCCTTCTATTTCCCTGGCAATGAATATCTTATACGATAGCAATAGAAAAAAGTTCTTTCAAGGTAAAGTAAGAAGGTAAGAAGGATTCGAAAAAATTCTGGCTTTCTGCAATTTCAGTTTTCTGCATTTTCTGCATTTTCTGGTTTCTGCATTTTCAGTTTGTTTTTTCTGCAATTTCAGTTTCAATACAACAATAAGAATCTGTTAATTATTGCAATACAATAAGTCTCAGTCAAATCATCAGTTAAGCCAAAAAGTAATAAAATGGAACTCTTATGTCGAAGAAAATAAAAATTATGATGTATGTGTACACATTTCCTAAAAATAGTTCAATACTATACTCGTATATTAAAGCAAAGTTAAACCTATCCGGCTGCCTGCCAAATCACAAAATTTAAATGTGATTTGTTTCCTATTTTTATTATCTTACTAAATCTCACAATATTTCCTAAAAAGACAAAATTTCAATTCACAAATTTTTGTACATACTGTAACCCAATATTTTTTTTTCATAACCCAAAATTTGAAACCACCAAATTATATGATTCACAATTTTTAATAGTCGTCGTCGATTTGATTTTTTTCTTTTACATTTTTATCAATGATAAAAAATGATGTTCACTTTTATATTCAATATGATTTTATTTATGATGAACACGTGACAAGAAATCGTGCGTTTAATAGTTTTTCGAATATTGGAATGGAAATTTATTTAGAGGTTATAATAGAAAAGTCTACGTTATCATGTTCACGTTGTTTAAGAGCGGAATTTTTTTTTTCCGGAATATTTCCAATTGATCCACTTAGTATTGAGAAATTATATTGAAAAAAATGTTAATAAAGTGTGAATAAGTTTAAAAATGTTTGTAATGGAGAATGTTACTATATACATACATGCATACGTACATATCTATATATAAATGAGTGTATGTAAATATGCATACACACCTTATCTAAGACGAGCCGAAAATTTTAAATTTTATTAGAGTATGAATAATGAAATCATCTCGTACAGGTGTTAATAATCTTATGAGTTATACACGTACATATACGCTTCATATACAATATTTAAATATATGAGATTTATTTGGTTTTCTCTCAGGTGTACTTAAACCAGATAAGAGTGACGACGTAAAGTATCAAATAATCTTTATTTGTATAGAATGATAAAATCTTTTTGGATTTTTAATTTCCCTTTACCTTTTTTGGAAAAATGAATTTCTTTGACCATTTAAGCGGACGTGACTTGAATAACAATTACAATTTTAATTTTATTCTTCTTTTTCTGGTAATTAATTAAACTGGATTTATGTGCAATTGGTTTTGGGGAGTACCATTTATTTTAAAATTTTAATTAATTTATTGGTGGCTATTTTTTTTTTTTTTGTAAATTAATTGAATATTTTTTTTGAAATTGTTGGTAAATGTAAGACAATGATGATAAATGTGATTTCTAATTGTATTACAATTAGAGTTTAAAATACATAACATGCGTGCGTACATTAACAACGTAGTGCGCTAAACAATTTTAGGAAATTATAAAGATTTATGAATACATGTAATTTATTAAAGGGTACATGCGGAATTTTTGACAATTTGAAAAAATTACATAATATTAATTGATATATGAATTTGTGATTAGATTGCAATTATTTTAAATTATGTAGCGGAGATGGCAGTTGAAAGTAATGGAAATTATAAATCCTACATACACACATTGATCACGCCTGATTTGTGAGTTCACCTTGCAAAAATGTTTTAGCTCTAACACAATGATAAATAGTTACATAACACTAAGAGCAAGCTTGTAAAAGAAGGTTTCGAAAGTAGTCATTTGACATAATTATCTTTGAAGAGGTCTTGCGAAACAAATTTTATAAATTTTGTTTGAAAACATGTTAAACATTCGGTTTCTCATGCCATCCCAAGTTTAAAAAGTTTTCTAGAAGGTGTTAGAAAAAACAGCAAATATGGTTATGCCACTGATTGCTTACGATCTGCCCATAACAAAGGCTCATATTTCACTCGTTTCGCAATTGCTTTCGATTGCATTGTTGAAATAATTTGTTCTTATATTTTGGTTTCTATTTTAGATTTTCAATACGAATAGAAAACCTTATGAAAAATATGGGAAATATGCACCGAGATTTACAAGCAAGCAAATATTTCCGAAAAATTTGTGTAGAGTGGGAGTAGCTTATACTGAATTCAGTTCTTTACTAATTTGGGAGGATATATAGAAGATCACCATCATTAAACATGTTATACTTAGGATGTGTGTTTAATTGTCTTCTTCTATAATTCATTTGCTTTTGTATTAGGTTACTTATGCGGTTTAAGTGATCAAATAAAACGTTCAATAATTCAAAAAAAACTTCTGTCTAATAAAATGCGGTTAATTTTTTCTAATCTTATTTCATTCCAAAAATTTTCGTTTACATTGTTTTTTTCTTTATCTCGTTTTTATACCGCAAGTAAAACTGCTATTCATCATATATTTAACATAGAGCACATGTTTTTAATAGAATTGGTAATAAATTCACTTAAAGATAAACCGGAACGTGAATTTTAAGGCATCGCACATTAATTATGATTTTGTGGTGACCTCATTTTCTGTATAAACTATAGATACATACACACTGCATATACATATGTATATTGTATATTGTGAAGTGTTAAACGTTTTCGTATTGTTATGTGATACGTCTTGTGAATGTCGATGTGGTAAATATAAATGTAATCAATTAAACAACTTAAATTCGGAACAAGGTTGGAATTCCCTTCAATTAAATGTATAATTTTTTATATTTATTTATGTATGGATGTACATTTCGTGGGTGTGTCTTTGCAACGACATTACAATAATTTTGGTTTTGACATGTTGAGAATAAAGAGACGTCGTAACTCTTCAAATAACGTCGTTATATACTTACTTAAAAAGCTTTAGTAATAGAAGTAATAAAAATATAAGTAAATCGAGCAAAAATATTTATTTCGTCAAAATTATAATAAAAATATTATTAAATACTGATAAAGCAGAAAAAATCCATTGAAAAAAGTAAGCGTGTTGTCTGATAACAGAAAAGTAATGCTTTATCTAAGAATATGTTGGGAAATCCGAATAATTCACAACGAAACTAAATGATCGACTTATTTACTTCCTCATAATTATATGTCAGAATTTTCAAAGTGCTACAAAATTAGTTGGACACAATATCCAAAAAGTTGTACAGTTTCAATTAAAAAGAATGTTTTAATATCACCTTTGTTGCATGAATACCATTAAGAACCTCTTAAGTACATACATACTTATATCATTCGAACGAGTTTAATTTTACTCTGTACTTAAAATTCATCGAAAATTTTTAGTTTTGTATTTGAGAAAAAAATATGTATGTTTTCTATAAACTCTGAGTGCCATGTCTCTTTGTTTGACATTTCTTGACATTTGACATTTAGAAATAATCTAAGCTTGTCTTACAGAATTATAATTGTTTTCAAAGTGTCGATTATAAAAATGAATTGAATGAATAAATTTTTGAATTTATTCGCATTTACTTTTGACAAAAATTTGCACTTTCTTAAGAGACTGCTCCTACTTTTATTTTTCTCTTATTGGAGAGCATTTTTAGTTATCCTGTAGTTTTGGTAAAATTATTAAGATCCAATCATATTCATAATCTTATTTATGAACAGAAATAAGTTGAAGTTATGTACACAAAACTCTTGTTACAATTACAAATTAAATTCAAAGCTCATTGTCAAAGTTTAACCGAAACAATTTTCTTTTCTTTTAAAATTACATACTTACATAAATTATGTATGTATGTATGTACATAAATTAACAAAATTTAACTTGAATTTCAAAAAATACGTAACTCTAGTGCGCTTCCAATAAAACAATTCGGCAATAAAAAAAAATTTGTTAAAGTCATTTACTTACATATGAGTGTGGCGCCAGGGGGTAAATAAATTTGATAAAAATTTAAAATTTCCAGCTAGAAAATAAAGACTAATATCTTTATAAAAGACATTAAGTAAAAAAGCAAAATGTAATTTCAACGGAAATTACTGAAAATTACTTGAGTACTTCAAAAAAAAAAAAAAAATTCTAATTAAAAAAGCCGAAAGTCGTTCATTAAACATAAAAAGGTGAATTTCTAGGAATAGCTATTTAATCGAAAATAGATTTGAATACATGAACGTAAGCAGATATGCAAACATACGTATTAACATTGTGTATGTATGTATGTACAATAAATAACGTGAACAGGTACTTCGCGTGTGGGTATGATATACACATGTACATATGTACATATGTGCTTCTTGTACTTGTCTTCTTCTTCTTCTTTTGGCTCTACAGTTCGGGGTGAACTTTGGCCTTCTTCACGATCTGCCTCCAACTATCACGATCCTTTGCTGTTGTTTTCCAGTTTATGATTGTAAGCTTTGCAGCATCACTTTCAATATTTTCTTCCCATCGTCTTCTGGGTCTTCCTCTGTGTCTATTTAGACTAGGTCTTGCTTGCAGAATTTTGCTTTGTGGTCTATGTTCATCCATTCGAATTACGTGCCCTGCCCATTTTAAACGCTGCGACTTGCTATACCTTATTATATCCTCGCCTTTAATTAAGTCGTTAAGCTCATCATTTGTTCTTCTCCTATATTCGCCGTTTTCTAGATTTATGGGCCCAAATATTTTTCTTAATACTTTTCTTTCAAATATTCTTAAATTA